CAGGAGCTTTCCATGTGACTTTGGAAACCTGGGATGCTCACAATTGGGATGCATGAAGCCAAAACACGGTTATGTTTCCTTTTGAAACATGTTTCTTTTTTTAATGTTTCTTTTTTGAAAGTTTTGGCCTTGTTCCTACTTTTGTGCTAGAATTAATCATGGGGGTCACCTCTTGGGGTAGAGCAGTGAGGGCCAGGCTGGAGGGAGATGCAGGGAGCAGCTGATCCAGCAGTGCCTGCCCTGAGCTGCTCTCCCTGGCTTCCCCTCTGGCTGCAGTCCAAGGCACCCATTAGTGGATGTGGCTGCTCTGCCTGGCCCAGGGCTGGGGTGGTGGGGTGGGGTGGTCTGCCTGCCACAGGGCGTGAGGATGGCACTGAGGGTGTTCCCAGTGACGTGGGTTGGACAGATGGTGCCCTTCTCCAGCCCGGAGTGACAAGTGACATGTGCCCTCCTGACCAGCAGGCTCCATCTGTGTAATTTCCTCTTCATGGGGCTTCTGGCCGGGCTCTGTGCCATTCCCCCTGTCCAGTGCCTGCCCTAAATAACATCTCTGTGCCTGTCCATCAGCCTCTGTGCTCCCAGGAGTGCTGTGCCCTCAAGCATGAGTGCCTCTGGCAAGGCTGTGTGTGGCTTGGGTCCCCTTCCTGCAGGATTTCTGGGTATGGCAGGGTCCAGATAGGACTAGGCAGGGATGTGGCATCCTTTGTGCAATGAGGCAGGCCTGTTTTGGATGTGGAAGGGACAAGCAAGAGGTGATGAGGACAATAACATCTTGGCAGGTACCCTGCTCTCCTGCTGCTCTTCCTCTGCTGCCAGTCCCTGGCCTTCCTGGTTCCTGTACAAATCTTCATTTAAAATTAACAGTGGGAATACTCTGCTCACAGGCTTCAAAAAGGGGCTCAGAATTCTGGCAAGTTGAGATCCTGTCAGGATGATGGCAAAAAAATGCTGGATAGGCTTGTGGGGAGGTTGTGTTGAAGGTTTTTCTGTACAGGGCTGCAGGGGCTGGCTGGTGCTTCCCATCCATTCCACCCCCTGCCATGGGCAGGGACACCTTTCACTAGTCCAGGCTGCTCCAAACCCTGTCCAGCCTGGCCTTGGACACTTCCAGGGATGGGGAAACCACAGCTGCTCTGGGCACCCTGTGCCAGCCCCTCTTGGTCTGACATCTTTCCCCCATGTCCAACCTGACTCCAGCCTCAGTCCAACACCATTGTCCTGTGCTGGGACCCCAGAGCTGGGGGCAGCTCCAGGGTGTCTCAGAGCACAGGGGGAACACCCTCTCCTCTTGCCCATACTGCTGAGGATGAGCCAGTCTTTGTGTTTCTGTGCTGCCAGTGCCAGGTCAAACCCCATTTATCACCCAGCAGAATCCCCTGATCCATCCTCACAGGGGGCTCTCAGCTCCTTTCCTTTACTCCTTCCTGTAGATGCCCATCCTGTTGGGGCATGGTGAGGTGGCAGGAGCTGCAGGCAGGACACCCCCTCCATCTGTGGGTGGTGTGGATGTCCTTGTCCCTGACAGGGAGAGGTTTACCAGGGTGGGGGAAGAAAGATCCCCTGTCCTGTAAACACACATCCAGGGTGGTGTTTGCATTGGCAGGTGCATCTTCCATCACTCCCAGTGTGTGTCCCCAGGGTCTGTTGGCATTTTCCAGGGTCCTGGGGGGTGTAGGTGGGGGTCTGTGTGTTACTGCCCATGCACTGGGCTCCCAGTACCACCCACCAAAGTGTGTGATGCTTCAAAGCTGTTGGTGCTTGAAATCAAGCACAGCACCAACCTAGCAGGCATGTGTGATATGTAAGTGGAATGTGAACATGGGTAATACTTGTGTCCCTGTAGCAAAGCTCTGTCCATGCATTCCTGGCTTTAGGACATGGTTCTTTGTGACCTCCTTGATGGTGAGCCCTCCTGCCATGTGCTGGGGGAATGCTTGGGATGCTCTGGGATCCATGGAGCACATGTGGGCACTGCTCTGGAAGCAGCTGTTGGCCCCAGGTGGAGCTGAGCTTACAGCCAGGCTTGCTGCTGGCTGAAGGGGTGGCACTGGGGCTGGGACAGTGACAGCTGTCACTGTGCTCAGATGGTTTGTGTAGGAGCATCGGGGGCAGGACAGTGGGGATGGACAGAGAGCAGAGATCTCTGCAGCCAGGTCAGGAACTTGGGCTTTATTGCAAAGGGCCTGGGTGCAGAGCCCTGCTGGGAGCTGCCAGCCACAGCTCAGAGCAGACCTGAGAGAAGAGAGGGGTAGAGAGGATGAGAGGGTAAGAGAGTAAGAGGGTGGGAGAGCAGAAGCATAAGAGAGTAAAAGGGGTAAGAGAGTGAAGTTCCCATTACAATACAATAAATCTTCTGTGTTGAATATTCTCATTCTCACTAACCAATCTAGTACAAGATACAAATCCTACAGCATTCACATACAGCGTATAAGAATCATTACATTACCATCCTGTGTTACATTTTAAACCCCAAAAACTCCTCTTTGGGCCCCTTCTGCCAAGCTGGCAGGGTCTGCTCTGAGCCTTGGGCCTGTCTGCAAGCAGAGGGTGTTGTTCCATCAAAAGGGGATCACCTTCAGCTGGCCACACCATTGTTTTCCAGTTGTTCAGTAACTGAGGGATCTCAAAGCTTGCTTTCATTCCAATCTCACTTATAGTTTCCATATTCTCAAAATCTTTTTGCCAGACAATCATATTTATAAGACTTTCCTGTTTCATCTTCCCCAACAGTTTGGAGCAAGGCTGGAGCAGTGGTGACACAGGACAGGGGGAGGAACTGGGCTGCCTGGTGGCACTGGCATGCAGGAAGGATTTAAAACATGACTGTGTTCACAGGGGCCTCAAGTTGAGGGAAGAGATGAGGATTTGACTCCATGTTTCAGAAGGCTGATTTATTATTTTATTATATATATTATATTAAAACTATACTAAAAGAGTAGAAGAAAGGATTTCATCAGAAGGCTAGCTAAGAATAGAAAAAGAAAGAATATAACAAAGGCTTGTATCTTGGACAGAGAGTCCGAGCCAGCTGACTGTGATTGGCCATTAATTAGAAACAACCACATGAGCCCAATCCCAGATGCCCCTGTTGCATTCCACAGCAGCAGATAACCATTGGTTACATTTTGTTCCTGAGGCCTCTTACCCATCACTGGAGTAAGAGCAGTGGCTGTAGTGGCTGTCTCTCTGCAGAGTGCGGAGGGGCCATGGGGTGATGTGTAACTGCAATCATCATGAGATGAGCAGAGGCAATCCTCTCTCAAATTTCCATTCCACTGGCTTCTTCTCTCTTGTAAAGATGGAGTAAGAGGAAACTTTTCCAACGTGTTAATTTTCCATTTCCCTCCGTCGTGTAACTGCTTTGGATGATAATCTTTTAAATGTCTCCTTATGTGCAGGACTGTAATTTTTCCTTCCCTTGAGAGCTTGCAGCCCCCGCCTTGCTGGGACAGGAGGTGTTTTCATCTCTGGTGACAATGACACACATGCTTCTGCAGACAAGGACAACCCCTCATTTGCCTGCTGTGACTTTACTAGTTCTGCTGTCTTATCTGTTTGCTCCCACCTTTCCTGCACTCTACAGCACTCCTTTTATTTTCCCATCACAGCATCCCTTGTGTTTCCCATGGCAGCATCCCTTCTATTTACCATCATGGCATCCCTTATGTTTTCCTGACGTGGCATTCCTCATGTTTGCCCATTGCAGCATCTCTCATTTCCTATTGCAGCTTTCCTTGTGTTTCCCACTGCAGCTTCCCTCCTGCTTTCCCGTGGCAGCATTCCTTGTGTTTCCTGTGACAGCATCCCTCATGTTTCCCATTACAGCATCCCTCGTGTTTTCCCATCATGGCATCGCCCAGGCTTTCTCCTGTGGCAGCATTCCTTGTGTTTCCCATGGCAGCATCCCTTGTGTTTTCCTATCACAGCATCCCTCGTGCTTTCCCATGGCAGCATCCCTCTTGTTTTCCCATCACAGCATTCCTTGTATTTTCCTGTCACGGCACCCCTCATGTTTTCCCAGTCCAGCATCCCTCGTGTTTTCCCAGTCCAGCATTCCTTGTGTTTGCCATGGCAGCTTCTCTCGTGTTTTCCCATGGCAGCATTCCTCATGTTTTCCTATCACAGCATTCCTTGTGTTTTCCCATCACAGCATCCCTCACGCTTTCCTAGTCCAACATCCCTTGTGTTTTCCTATCACAGCATTCCTTGTGCTTTCCCAGTCCAGCATCCCTCATGTTTTCCCATCACAGCATTCCCTGTGTTTCTCATCACAGCATTCCTTGTGTTTTCCTATCACAGCACCCCTCATGTTTTCCCAGTCCAGCATCCCTTGTGCTTTCCCAGTCCAGCATCCCTTGTGTTTTCCTATCACAGCATTCCTTGTGTTTTCCCAGTCCAGCATTCCTTGTGTTTGCCATGGCAGCATCCCTCGTGTTTTCCCATGGCAGCATTCCTCATGTTTTCCTATCACAGCATTCCTTGTGCTTTCCCAGTCCAGCATCCTTTGTGCTTTCCAGCATGCCTCATGTTTTCCCATCACAGCATTCCCTGTGTTTCCCATCACAGCATTCCCTGTGTTTCCCAGTCCAGCATCCCTCATGTTTCCCATCATTTCCATGCCTCACACTTTCCCACTGCAGCACCCTGGTGTTTCCCATTCCTGCTCCTTGCAGAGCTGGTGTGCTCACACAGGCTGCCCTGGGAGCTCCCCCTCCCTGGCTGTGGGGTGTCCTCAGCTGTGTCCATGCTGTGCCATGGCTGCTGTGGTGTTTTGGCCATCCCTCCCTGCTGGATGTGTCTGTTCTCTGCTCTCCCAGAGCCCTGGGGCTCGGAGTTGCAGTGCCTGGAGTGTTCCCCACTCTGGCTGGTGTTTGCCCCAGCTCCTTGGAGCAGGTTAGCACAGGAGAAGAGGAAAGTTCCTCACAGGAGCTCTGAAATAGGGCTGGGAACTCTGCAGGAAGCCCTGGTTGATGCCTCTCTCTCTCTCTGTGTTGTTGCAGGCCAAGGACAGTGATGATGATGATGAAGTCACCGTCAGTGTGGACCGGGACCGTTTCATGGATGAGTTCTTTGAGCAGGTGAGAGCTTTGTTCCTCCAGTGTGGCTTTGAGGCTGCTTCAGACCTTTCTGCTGGCACCAGGGTGGGTTGTGGATGCTCCAGGCTCCCTGTGGCCACTGGGGATGAGGATGAAGGTCCTGCCCTGGCTGGTGCTGCTCAGCTGATGCTCAGGGTTGTGCTGAGTGCTGAACATCAGGAACCTGAGGCTGTGCTGCCCTGTGGACGTTTCCCTGCTCCTCCAGAGCCCAGCCAGGCTCTTGCCCAGGCCATGAGAGCAGGGAAGCCTCACACCCAGCTCTCAGGCCTTTCCCCAGGGCACCTCTGCAGAGCAGCAGTCTCTGCATGGATCATGGATTTAATTTTGTGCCTCCTGTTCCCAAACAAGAGGTTGTCTTCTGGCATGTGGGTGGCTGTAAGATCTGCTTGCGGATTTTTAGCACACCCTTAGCATGGCATGTGTGTGGGGGGTGTTAAAATGGATCTGTGCAGGCAATGGAGTGGGAACTGGGATAAATCTGATGTGCAGGTGGAGGAAGATGAGCAAAGGAGTGGTGTGAGCTGAAGGAGAAGGCTGAGTTAGAGGGTGAGCAGCCTGCCAGGAGAACACAGGAGAGGTTTCCCCTCTTGAGCAACGCTGGTGTCTTCCTGTAGCACAGAAGGGCAGGGAAAATGCCAGAATGGATCTTTGGGAAAATGTGGCCTCCCTGAAATGGGGGGTGAGGGTCAAATTGGGCATTTCTGGAGCTTTTTATGGAGCAAGGAGCCATGGGAGACTGAGCCACTACCAGCCTGGCTTTGCAGTCTCAGCAGTGCTCTGCCAGTGGCACAGAGTCTGGGGATCAATCTGCTGCTGATTTATATAAATCCCAGAAGTTTCTCAGTGTATCACAAAGAATCCAGGACATACAGTCTGCATTACACTGCTGTGAGTCAGAGCTGGCTGGTGGGATGGAGAAGGGCTGATTCCACAGTTCCAAACTGGAAAATATTTATCCAGGAGGATGTTTGCTGTGGTTCAGACATGTCATGGTTGCTTTGGAATAGGGTATAATAATCCCTTCACTTTCCAAGAGTTCAGGTCTGTCACAGACCACCTGTCTTCTTGTCTCACTTCACAGGTGGAAGAAATTCGAGGCTTCATTGATAAAATTTCGGAGAATGTGGAAGAAGTGAAAAGGAAGCACAGTGCCATTCTGGCTTCCCCCAACCCTGATGAAAGTGAGTGAGCCCCGTGTGTCCCATGTGTCCTGTGGCTCCCCTGGTGGGTGGCTGGGGCCAGGCACAGTCCCCTGGGTCTGCAGGTGGCCACAGCTGGGTGCTGAGGGAGGGCTTGGGCTGGCCTGGTGACTGACTGGTGGCTTTGAGACCTGCAGAGGTGGTGAGAGTCCAGCGAGGGGATTTCTGCAAGCATGGGGCAGTGTGGAGGCTGGGAAGGGCAAGTGCCTGTTTCTGTGGTGGGTGGTGTTGTCTTGCCCTGGGCTGCCTGGGCAAGTCCCAAGGAGTGGATAAAGCAGAACAGACCAAGTGTCACCTGCTTGGGCCCAGAAATGTCACAGCTCCTCTTTGAGCCAGAGGTGGCAGCTGGGACCTTCCATTTCTGTCCTGGGGACAATTTGTTGCTGGCTGGTCAAGGAGTCTATCCCTTCCAGACCTTTTTCTTCCAGAGAAAAGGTTTGCTGCCAGGAGCTGGAGTTAGGGCTTTGAGCACCCAAAGAATGGCAGCATTTGGGTGTCTGAGGGATCTGGCAGAGTTAGAACTGTGCATGCTGTGGTCCCTGTTCCCAAGGGAGCCAGAGGAGCTGGCTGTGGGGTGGTGAGGTCAGCAGTGGTGTCTGCAAAGCCCTTGCTGTGGAATGGGTGGATCTGAGGGCTGAGCTCTGCAGGGTGGGGCTGGAGCTGCCCAGGCTCACCTGCTGAGGGACAGCCCTGGAACAGCTCTGCTGCCCCAAACTCCACCTTCAGGGTGACACTGAGACCAGGTAGGTCCCCTCTGCCCCCTCCATCATCATGCTGCTGTCACAGGGGTGTTGGATGCTGCAGGTCTGACCCTGCAGGATGGCTCCAGGCCACTGCAGCCCTCATTTTGGCAGAGGTGTTGCTTCCATGGGCTGAGCACTGCTCGTGCTCCCAGTTATAGAGGCTGGAAAGGTGAGACCAGGCCTCTCTATGCTCATCTACCCTCTTCCCATCCATTTCTCATTTGCCCTGTGCAATTCCATGTCTGCTTGTGGAATTGTGCCTGGAGGTCCCAGGAGGGTGCCCACATACACATTGCCCTGCATCCATGTCAAAGCAGTAGATTTTGTAATTACTTGAAAGGAATGGCCCATCCTAAATTGTCCCAGGCTCCCCTCTCCTGGCAGCTGCTCCTCAGCTAAAATTTCCTTGGCCAAGCCTGGAATTGAGGGATTTTCTCAAGGGAGTTCCCATGTCTCAGGCTATTGCTCAATCACCCTCCAGATCCTTGTGCTCTCACTGTGAGATGTTGCAGTGTTCCTGTCTGGGAGTGTTCAGAGAGAAGCTGCTGTGAGCCCCATGTGTCCTGTGTGTCCTGTGGGCATGTGGCTTCCCTGGTGGGTGACTGGGACCAGGCACAATCCCCTGGGTCTGCAGGTGGAATGGCTGCTGCACTGGCATGGGGTCCACTTGGGGCTGCAAAGGCCACTCATGGCCTAAAAGCATAAGAATCTATTTAAAAGTCTGAGATCTGCAGTGAACAAGATGTGGTGACATTCCCATGACTTCCAGAAGCATCCAGGACCTTGGAAGTGCTTCTGGTTTTGTTTTACAGCGTTCCTTTGCCTTGGTATTGTAGAGAATTCAGTTTGTCTCATCAAGAATTGTTGGGACAGGAAGAGAGGAGCCACATGAATGTGAAATCAGTGATTTGTGGCATTGTGGTGTGCTCAGAAGGTGTGGTAGGACTCAGCAGTGGACAGCCTCAGAATCACAGAGTACTTTGAGTTGGAAGGGACCTTCAAAGATCATCCATGGGCAGGGACACCTCAAATCTACACCAGTGGCCACTTGCTCCAAGCCCTGTCCAATGTGCCCTTGAACACTTCAGGGGTGGGGCAGCCACAACTTCTCTGGGCAGCCTTTGCCAGCCCCTCTCAGTCCACCCTCACAGTCTGACATTTCTGCCCCATGTCCAATCTGACCCCACTGCCCCTTGTCCCAGCCCTTGGACCATTCTGTGGCCACCTCTGGACCTGCTCTGCCAGGGCATTGTCTGTGCTGGCAGCCTCACCCCCACCCTCCTGTGTTCCTGAACCCACAGAGAACCTGCTCATTAATGCAAGTTTGTAACCCAGGGCTGTGAATTTATTAAGATTAATTTGGAAATTCAGAAGCACGTTCCCATGAGGCATGGCAGGGGCACAGAGCCAAAGGACACTAAAATGTGGGTTGTGAGAGGCTAATTTTGGGATGTGCTCACTGAGGTTTGCTGTTTAACAGGGCAAGGAGCGACACCTGGGATGGCCATCAGGGCAAGATGTTGCTCCCTGCAGGGATTTGGGATCATCCCTGCAGGGATTTGGTGCTGCTCATCCCCTCTGGAACAGCACCCTGCTTATTTCTTAGTGCTCTCCAAGTACTTTAGCATCATGTGGAAGATGCAAGATGAGGGGAAATGTTCCTCCAGGAAATAAGAGAATGTCACGGAGTTCTCATCCTTGTCTGGAGGCACATGTGCTGTGCAGCTCGGTTTGGTGTGGGTGTAGCTTCTCCATCAGAGCTACAAACTCCTTAAACACCACCAGCAAGTCCCTCCTGGAGCTGGAGGACTTTGGGATGGGGCTTTAGATGGAACAGAGCTGGGCTGGTGGTCTGGGAAATGTTTGGGCAGTGGTTGGGGTTGCTGTTGCAGGGATGGATGCAGAGGTTGTGGTGGCTGCTGGTGGATAGCTGCATTCTCAGGGTCAGTGATGGAAGAGAGGGACTCTGTGACAGTGTTCACAGGGGTCTCAGGTTGAGGGAAGAGATGAAGATTTGACTCCATGTTTCAGAAGGCTTGATTTATTATTTTATGATATATATTACTTTAAAACTATACTAAAGAATAGAAGAAAGGATTTCATCAGAAGGCTGGCTAAGAATAGAATAGCAAAGAATGATAACAAAGGCTTCTGTCTCAGACAGAGAGTCTGAGCCAGCTGACTGTGATTGGCCATTAATTAGAAACAACCCCATGAGCCCAATCCCAGATGCCCCTGTTGCATTCCACAGCAGCAGATAACCATTGGTTCCATTTTGTTCCTGAGGCCTCTCAGCTTCTCAGGAGGAAAAATCCTAAGGAAAGGATTTTCCATAAAAGATGTCTGTGACAGGACTCCATGGGCACAATCCCACTGGAATCTGCTTTTTAAGTGGCTGTGCTCAGGCAGATGCAGCCCCTTGGTGTTCTCTGTTTGCAGGATCAAGTGAGGTCCAGTGTCTGTGTGACACCTGGATTTGCCCGGCGTGCTGAGCTGCAGGATCCATGGAGGGGCTCATCCCTCCCTTCCTGCTGATCCCTCTTCTGGCTGCACAGACTGTTTGGGATCTGCCTTGCCCCTGCTGCCTGGGTTTATTTTGGAGCCCAGTGGGTGGGGAGCTGGCTGGCTGTGCCTCTGAGGCAGGGAGGTGACAGCCCCTGGCTCCAGCAGGTTTAGTCTGGCTGAGGGGCTCAGGGGGGCCTCCACACCCAGTGGGCAGTGCCATGGTGGGACTGGCTGGGCTTGGAAAAGCTGAGGGGCCGCGTTCCTTCTTGGGTTGGGGCCATTGTGAAAAACGCCAATCGCTTGGTTTTAAAATTTTAAAAGTTTAATAGTAATAAAATGGTTATAAAAATAGTAATACAATTAGAGTAATAATAATTTGGACAATTTAAATTAGGACAATATGAGACAACAAATACAAAGAGTTACGGATGTCCAGGTGCCTTTTTCTGGGCAGCACAAGCCTGAAAAAGGACGCCCATTAACAGAGGATTAACCCTTAAAACCAACAGCCTGTTGCATATTCATACACCTCATACATGATGCATAAATTCCATTAAAACAAAGGATTCTATCTGGTCATCATCAACCTCTTCCTCTGAATCCTGACAGCGCCTTTGAGGCGGGAAGAAGTTCATTTCTTCTGATAAGAGAGCCATAAATTCTTTTTCTCTGAAAGATTCAGGTGTCCTGTGGCTGCTATCTCACTGCCAGTCCTTTCTTTTAAAAAAAGTATCCTACATAGCACAGTTTCTATTTTAACAATTTTTATAACCTAAAACTATATTTAACACAGTACTTAAAAGAATCACTTTCTAACACAACACATATAATATTCATTTTAATATTTGCAAAAAGCCAGTCATAAAATACGTGCATTTTTCACAGTCATCACATCAGGTTTAAGTCACAGCTCCTGGTAAACTCATTCCTAAAAGCCTTCCCAGTGAGTGCTGTGGCTGTTGCTGCTCCTGGTGCTGCAATCAGCTGCTCCTGCTTGGTCCTTGGTGCAGGCCACATCCCAGAGGAAGTGGCCAATGCCACAAATCACTGATTTCAGATCAATGTGTGGCTCCTCTCTTCCCGTCCCAACAATTCTTGATGAGACAAACTGAATTCTCTACAATACCAAGGCAAAGGAACGCTGTAAAACAAAACCAGAAGCACTTCCAAGGTCCTGGATGCTTCTGGAAGTCACGGGAATGTCACCACATCTTGTTCACTGCAGATCTCAGACTTTTAAATAGATTCTTATGCTTTTAGGCCATGAGTGGCCTTTGCAGCCCCAAGTGGACCCCATGCCACAGCAGCTTTTCTCTGAACACTCCCAGGCAGGAACACTGCAACATCTCACAGCCAGCAAGCAATGAAATCACATTTGCAGTTTCCCTGGAGTGGTCAGGAAGGGTTCTGTGCCATTCCTCCTCTCTGCGCACGGCGTCCCTCCAGTGGCAGTGCTCCTGTCTCCCCAGCACTGGGTTATGTAACACAGCTGTCTGCTCCATGAGTTGCCTCTGGGAACAGAAATCTTCAGATCCCAACTTGTGTCTCTCAGCCTGTCAGCTCAGCCCATCTCTGCAAGCTTTGGGAGGCCCAGTAAATATTTCAGACCTGGAAGCAGGTCCATTCCAGCTGCACCAGCACAGGAGGGGAGGTTCACTTCCATCCATCCATCCATCCATCCCTCCATCCACCATCCATCCATCCATCCACCATCCAGCCATCAATCCATCCATC